AATAATGAAATTTACCAAGAGCTACAAAGAACAAGAATGTGTGGAGAGCCATGATTACCCAGGCTCTGAAGAGACAGAGTACACAGAAAAAGAAGAAGGAGAAGGAGGAGGAGGAACTTTTGTAAATACCTAACAGACGAGGAATTAGGTGAGAGAGGGAAATAATAAAATTTACTAAGCGCTACAAAGAACAAGAAATGTTTGGAAATTTGATCAGTCTCCTGGATACTTTTTGTCAATACCTTGAATATACAAAATATTCTATTTTCGTAGCATATTAAATAGAGCAATATTAAACTCTGTCTAGCTCGCTATGAGTATAGGCGATTGAATCCGTAACTAAAAATATTGACGCTGCGTTATTTAAATAATCAAACATAATCATATCCTTTAATAACTATATTATTCCAGTCTTCCCCAACGTGGTGATCCATGATCGCCTTCATCCTGAACGATAACGGCACATAGAATGATATGGAGAAAGAAGTAGTACAGCTGTGATAATATTACTGCGATCCAGCGTTTATTCGCAAAAAGTTACAAGCTTTTACATACTTTAATTTTTTTATCGGACAAGGTTAGATCACCAAGCATATTCTCATTCCAGGTAAATGTCAGCGACAGGTGACATATTTATTATGCGTCAAGCCAGGCACTATATTGCATGGAGTATCATAGTCATCAATTGACAACAATACTATTGTGACGTCACCCTGATCCTGATCCTGTGCTATCCTATGACGATCTAACCCTTGGCTGGTTCGGATGGGAATCTGGTTAGATTCGATATCAGCTTTGTCGTTCCCAGCTCGCTTCCAACGTCTGCTTACCGAAGTAACTGCTTTGATTTCTAGTCTAACCTACCCACGTTTTGATTTGATCTTAGGTAGACGAAATCAATCAGGCGTCGGGCCGTAGTACAAGCTGAATCCGGGGCAAAGGTGATACCGCACAAGTATATGTAAAAGAAAATAATGTAACAACTCAAAAGATTCAAATGTTTTGAAAAAAAAATAACAAGTATCTTTATATCTGTTTTCTGAATACAGGACTGCGTCTTTCTCCCAAACCGCTTCTATGGATTCGTGACTCTTTGCGTTTCTTAGGCGAGTCTTAATATTTTAAGTTGTTTTTCAATAAACTGGTTTTTGGTATCTTCAGGCGATATTCGTAAAACTTGTTTTCGTGGTGTGAGTCTAAGTTGTTCTTAAAAAAACTGGTTTTTGGTTATAAGTCTAAGTCGGAATGTGTGGAAATCTTTCAGTCAGCTCCTGCGAGGCTGGTCTCCGAGCTCACAGCTCAACTGCAACTCGATTCTGTGACTCCAACTGTCGCCAACAGTGTTGTGACTGCGACTGCCCAACTGTGTCTGCCCAACTGTCTTTGCTCTGGGGACGTTCGTTTATATAGAGGCTGACCAAAACCGGGTGGGGCCTGTCGTGGTTTGGTTTCCTCGATAGATCCAAATTTGCAATAAGGATTTTCTTTTCGGACAGGAACATTTATCACTTCCCATTTTTGGAAGTCAATTACTTTCTGTTTTAGAGGGGTTCTTAAGGGAATTGTCCTCCAAAATTCTTCCTTTCTCATATTGGTATCTCACACCAATCCCCTCAGAGGGCGTCAACAGGTTTCTCTTCTTTCTCATATGTTTACCTTCGCCCATCGCTCACGCCACCATTCAGCCAATGAACGCTCGGCAGTGTGGGTGTGGCTAGACTGGCCTCAGTTTACAATTATTGCTCAAAGAAAAAAAATTACCTTCCCTTCCCTTTCCTTTCTTCCCCACCGACCCAAACCCCCATGAATCGCACTGTGGACATTAAATTTTTGTCTTAACTTGATGTCATCTGGGATTCATTAATGGGATTTTCGCCGACTTATTATCTTGGTTGTCAACTAAATCTCTTTGACTTTCTCAACATCATCGCATTCTGTCGCCAACAGCTTGTCCAGGTAACAAACTTTTATCATGGCAAGTTCTGGACATACAACAGATGGTTCTCCTTCCAAAACCAAATGATATATCTGAAAGATAGTTAATGGCTTATTCTTTTTCTTTTTCTCTTTTTCCTTCCTTTTTCTTTCGGGTGGTCTCAACTAATTATTTCTCGGTTGCATGCTTGACCCAATTTTCGATTATCTTCTAGCATTCCGCTTTGCAAGCCTCTTGACCAAATTGAAATTTTCATTATTGTCATGGGCAGATTGCTATCTTTTATCCGCATTCTGCCTTCCCTCGCCGCGTCATGGCATAAATTAATTCTGACAGATCCGAGATCTTACAAATTTTCTATCTTCTGTGAAAAAAATACCTTTCTTCGCAAATAAAAATAAAATCTTTACCCATTTTTCTTTTGTTAAAAAAAATAACATCACTCAGTATGTCTTTCGTTATAGCTTTTTCTCGCCTTAAGTATTTCTCGCTTTTAATTTCCATGCTTAATTAGTTAGCCAATTACCATAGCTAAATAGTGCCACACTATATTGATACGTCCTCATCGGGGCTCTTCTAGGGTTTAAAATGCCAATATTTGACTATGGAAGTCTGGACCGTGTTATACTATCAGCCTAATGACTTTTACACCTATTACAAACAGAATATCGAGGTCAGGTTTTTGGGAGACCAGATAAATCACTGGACCCCGCCTCTCAGCAGTGCATGTTGGTAAAGACTGTATAATTCTATGGAATATGTTCTCATGTAGTTATAAAGGTTTTTTTTTTAATGAAACTGATGTCTGTTTCGACGGATCCAATTTGCCCTGACCTTGATCCTCTCATCTGCCCGCTCTCATGTAGACATGTTTCCTTTGTTGACCGTTTGTTCTAACATTATAACAAAAGTCCACGTTCGAGCGTCACTGCCCTTGCTTCCAGGATGAAATGATCCTGCTCCGCATTCACAGGAATCTTATCCTATAAACCATGAAAATTTTGAGAGCTGTTGAAACACACTAGAACCGCACCCAACAAACATATCACAGTTTTTGACATCAAGGTAATAATATATTTACAAAGATATAAGGTAGAGAGTGTAAGAACACAATCTATCCCTATATATTAGTCACTAAACGACCTCTTTCGATAAGAAACTACAGACTTGATGAACGCAATGCAGCGGGTCCTTGCAAAACAGATAATAAGGTCTATAGAAACAGTTCTTCATGGTTCGCGAATTTCACTCACTTATAGTGTCAGGCGGAACGAAATTGCTATAGTTCCGTTCCGTATTTTCAACGTCTCTCCGTATTGTATTACTTGTGTTATTCTTCACCTTGTGGGCATATCTATAAGTACGCGTCTCTTCTATTTCTGGTTATTTATACACAAAAACGATCAGAAGATTAATCTGATACTGATTGTAGTTTCTCTGCGGCTGATTTTTTATGAGTTAATCAAGCTAATAATATATTTACGAAGATATAACGTAGAGAGTGTCAAGAACACTATCTATCCACCATTAAACATATTTCAACGGAAACTAACCCAGTGAAGTAATACCGAATATTTCTTTATGAGGAAACGACATTCATTATCATACCAGGCCGGGTAGATTTTTCTCCGGGCGAATGTATAAGCGAGACGTTATTAACCAGTTGTCTCTCAAATTCTGACACTATTTTAAATATGTATATATAACATCCGACCCACAGGCTGTATGGGCCACTGCTTGTAGAATGTGTTATTTATCAAATTATTTAGCAAATATCTCCCTCCTTAAATTGTAATATTATTTATGTTAAAGAATTTTAACAATGAATTCTCAAAATTTTGTGTTGTAAAACATTTACCACGTGTTTGAGGGAGTTTGGTAAAGATTACATATTGATTGTGTATCAAGCGTAAAAAAAACTATCGTCGTTTTCGTCGGCACACACTCGTATCTGAGCACCGGGATCATCATCATCTTTCCCTATTCCCTTTCTTCCCCGGGTGGTAATAGCGGAGATGGCTGTGAATCAAGGGGTTTTTGACGAGGTCAGACATGTGAATTTGATTTTAGTGGAAAAATCTGCGCGATGGAGAAGCCCACACATTTAGCCAAAAGAAACGCACTGGCGGTTCTAAACGTGGTTTAGACAAAGGAGATGACACAAACCTGATTGCATCGGATACTTTGTCTGGTAATGTCCACCTTGGTTACGCCAGCCCGACTAGCACAGCCCGACTAGCACAGCTCTCTTCCGCCGGTTTGGGCGTCGCGTTCGTGTAGAGCTTTGACTATTCCGCAATTGGGGTATTCGCTGGTTAAACACATTCGGTTTGGTCCCTTCTCGATCTTATCGCCATGTGTGGCCCTACAGAAATATATTTCATATAAAATGTGGAATGTTATTTTGCCTATCAAAATCTAAGACATATTCATGATTTAGCCATTCCAAACCAGCATCTGATAATGTGTGTAATTTATTATTCTATACATTCCGTGTCGCTTACTGAATTGAGGCATTAACAATATCTCATATCTTCACTTAAGGTTTGCTTTCCTTAATACATTAAGAATTCGTTCTTTTTACGCCATTTTCACTATTGATCCGAAAGATAAAAAGGCGCATATATATATATATATATATATATATATATATATATATATATATATATATATATATATATAATGAAATGAAAACAACTTTAAGTGTTCATTGGCTATAATTTATTTCCCCATGGTATTTCTTTTTCCATGGCTCATCAGACCACACTAACAAGGGTGAAAAATATCATAATAAATTAAATTCATTTTTCACCCTTGGAAGCGTGGTCTGATGAGCCATGGAAAAATAAATTCCCTGGGGAAATAAATTATAACCAATGGACACATATAGTTGTCTGTTTTCATTGAATTAATCGCTTTGATTTAATATTGAGCTCTCCGGATTTCATCCTCCTTGGGATTAACCATACGGATTACCAAGATTTTCATTACTTAACTTATATCATATATATATATATATATATATATATATATATATATATATATACGGTAGAAGCAAAGCTACATAATGTGGTATCCACAGATAGATAGATAGATAGATAGATAGATAGATAGATAGATAGGAATAGACTGTGACACATACATACATAGGAATAGACTGTGATAGATAGATAGATAGATAGATAGATAGATAGATAGATAGATAGATAGGAATAGACTGTGATACATACATACATACATACATACATCGGAATAGACTGTGATAGATAGATAGATAGATAGATAGATAGATAGATAGATACATAGATAGATAGGAATAGACTGTGATAGATATATACATATATACATACATACATACAGAGGAAAAGACTGTGATAGATAGATAGATAGATAGATAGATAGATGGATAGATAGATAGATAGATAGATAGGAATAGACTGTGATAGATATATACATATATACATACATACATACAGAGGAAAAGACTGTGATAGATAGATAGATAGATAGATAGATAGATAGATAGATAGATAGATAGATATATTTCTCACATATATGCTCATTAATTGACCTTTTATCTGGACTGATTTTTGGGTGAATATTATGAAAAGAAATTGGACAACATAAGCGCTGTTTCGATGGACTACCAGCCTTGCATAATTAGTGATATCTCTTCTCCGCGGGAACAAGAAATACGGGGTTGAGTCTAGGATTTTTAAAATCCAAGTTTCACATACGAATTTCTTGGTAATAATTTCTTTTTCTCCTGTTTGTTTTTTTTTTTCGTATTGACCAAAGATAAGTCACTAACAATTACTCCATTATACAAAGATTAACTCTTAAAAAATCAGCCTCAGAGAAACTACAATCAGTATCAGATTAATCTTCTGATCGTTTTTGTTGTAAATAACCAGGAATAGAACAAACGCGTACTTATAGATATGCCCACAAGTGTATAAAAAGGTGAAGAATAACACAAGTAATACAATACGGAGAGACGTTGAAAATAAGGGACGGAACTATAGCAATTCCGTTCCGCCTGACACTATAAGTGAGTGAAATTCGCGATCCATGAAGAACTGTTTCTATAGACCTTATTATCTGTTTTGCAAGGCCCTGCTGCATTGCGTTCATCAAGTCTGTAGTTTCTTATCGAAAGAGGTCGTTTAGTGACTAATGTCCGCATCTTTATTTTTCATGTTTTTGCTCTAAGGATTCTTTATAAAAGTTTCTGTTCTGATTTCTTGGAGCGACAATTTTTAGTAGGATTTTAAAAAAGAAACAAATTAGAAAGAACAGCTTAGATCGTAACGCCGGTTATCGGTTCGACGATTACTGGACAAATGTTGAGTCTCCATAAAGGCCATTTTATTTTGCCTCAGTTTCTTTATGTTTCGTCTGTTTTGTTTGATTTTATTTGTTGCTTATATCAATTTTATTTATTGTATGTTGCTAAAATATGAAGAAAATATATCTGGGATTGACGTGATCTAAAGAGATGAAAAATATTATTAAGTATAAAATAAAATAACAAGCTTTCTTTAAGTATAAAATTAAGCGGGAACCAAATTTGAAGAAATGTTTATCCAGTTTCTTGGAAAAAAGAAACTTTATGCAACTAGAGTTAATAGATAGCGACATGGAGTGTAAAATTGGAGAGTAGTGTTCAAATTCCAGTCGGGTTAGTGACATTCACTTACGCACAAATGCACTTGAGTATGATACAAATCTATCTCTTCCAGCATAGGCTTAAATAGTAAGTAAAATATTATTTTAACAGACATGTTTTCGGAACCGAGTTTAAAAAGTCAAAAGATTGCTTTTTTGAAATACTGATGAAGATCAAAGTATTACTGACGAGCGAAGAATCAATGGCATTTACTAATCAGAAATGATTCGGGCACAAGGCCACTTCTACAGTTACACTAGGCTAATACCTCATAAATAATGGACTATCCCGTTTTGAATTAGTGCAAAGACGGAAAACACGCTACTTGGTTTCATAGAGAAATAGAAGAAAGAAAAAATGAAAGAAGCGAATATGTCAATTTTTAACGGCCATTTCTTCAAAATGGAAAATGTTGTCAATTTCAAATCTTATCATTTGCATCCCCTTACTTCTTAGAATAAAGACTAGCATTCATATCTATATTTTTATTGCAATATTTTGTTAAAGTTGTTAAATAATACGATAGAGGAATTTCTACGGAGATTTTATTGTCGGAGACAACGTCATAATCTTATTATACCATTACTAAAGAAGTAAGATTTATCAGAAAATTTATATAGGAAAACCGTACAATTTCCACGATTATTTCTAGTTCTTCTTTAATATAAAACTATACATTAAACTTCTCTCAGCGAAAACGTGACAAATCGTTTTACAATGAATTCTTAAGGCGAATAGACTCCAGCTTTTCGGAATGTGATTACATTTGTGCATGTCAGATGACGAATTGCGATATTTGAATTCTCGTTTTCAAGATACCTTTGCCTATTTAAAATCTCAATTAATAGTCTACGTCATAGTTTTCTTTAATCATGATTCCCGGGCGAATTTAAACTTGAAACGCACATGACTTTTCCGTAGAACTTGTTCATTTCATGGCGTTGTTTGCACGATTCAAATGTGGTCAACAGCCAAATGGAAACGAGTCGCAAGAAAAATAGACCTATTAAAGATGACGGACAACGGCTGCTGGCAATAATCAGCTATTTTATGCTGAAACCACTATCAAAGTTTCAAATGCGTGTTGTGTCGTTTAATGCCTGCATTTCGATTAAACGTACCCTGTGTCAGAAGACTAACTTTTATATGCACTTATCAGATGTACTCAGTGAATAAATGAGATAAAATTATTTTGGTCATTGACGGCATCTTTTCTTATCATAATCATGAGGTGTTTGTCTAAACGCGTAGGTTTCAGTAAATACTGAACAGAACACCTTTTTTTAATCTACAGGTGTAGATATTTCTTATTTCACAGTTATATATATATTACTTGGTAATTAGTAGGGATAATTCCAAGAAGGATGCAAATCCAAACAGGGGTAAACACGTTGATATACGGCTAAACACTTTCCTTTTCCTCTCTCTCTCTCTCTCTCTCTCTCTCTCTCTCTCTCTCTCTCTCTCTCTTTTGAAATCTCTATTTTTGCCAATTTTTCTTTTCCTCCTTTTTTCTCTCTCTCTTCCGCAATCTTTGTTTTTCATTTTTTTCTTTTACTTTTTCTTTTGTTTTCTTGTGTCTGGTTAAATTTTAAATACATTGATTGTCGTCAAATTTTTGGTCTAAAGATATGGGTACCTGATTCCATTAAATAAAATATTACCTCTGGATTTCTAAGCACTCGGCTTTCATTATTATATATAAATATACAGAGAGAAAGAGAAAGACAGAGAGAGGGAGACGCAGATACACAGACATACACAGACACCCCCACCCATATATATATATATATATATATATATATATATATATATATATATATATATATATATATATATACAAAATCAGTTAACATAATGAGTAAAATTGCCGCAAATAATTAATTTTTGGTTGTGATATGGCATGATTTTAATATTGCCCTTGTTCTTTTATTTACTCATGTGTTCTCATGATTTTGAAAATTATACCCCATGTTTCAACCATCAAAGGGTATGGCAGGAAATCCTAAATACAAATCTATCAACCATAATTTTTTTGTAAGCACTCAATATCATGTTTATGTTTATATGTCCTTGCATTTTTTTAAATAGGCAGAGGCTCCTTGAAGACGAGACTACAAAGAACACAACTCGTTATCAGACATGCACAGATGTAATTATATTACTAGAAGTTGGAGACTATGTTAGCTGCTAGCCTTAATAATTCATTGTAAAATGATGTGTCCCCATTTCGTTTTAAGAAGTTTAATGTAGAGTCTTATAGAAAAACTAAAAATATCCGTGAAAATTTTACGGTCTTCCTATACGAATTTTCTTATAAATCTTTAGATAATGATTGAATAAGCTTATACAATAAAATATCCGTAGAAGTTCTTCTAGCGTACCATTTAACAACATTAACAAGATATTGCAATAAAAATCATAAATATGAATATTGTTTTTTTTTTTTTTTTAAATTAAGGGGATACAAATGATGGGATCTGAAATTGACAACATTTTCCATTTCACTGAAATAACTGCTAACATATTATATATTCTATTCTTTCTTTCTTATTTTATTTTCTCTCTGAAACCAAGTAGCGTCTCCAATATGTCTTTTCCATCTTTGCACGTGTTCAAAACAGGGTAGTGCATTATTTATGAGGTATAAGCCTTCTGTAACAGGCGTGCTAATTAAGAGATGGACAAGTAGAATTATAATAAGATATTGACGCAAACCAAACATTTACAGAATTTAAATCTTATGAATGACTCAAGTAAATATTTCAGACTGAGAGCGTCAAATACATTAAACATTATGTAACATAAAATTATGATTTGAAATTTAATCCAAATCTGAAATAGAAATAAATGTCAAAGCAAAAATATATATTAATCTAAATTCTTCTCTATTAATTTTGAGTCAATCTGCCAGGATTACTGAGACGTAATGGAAGATGAACTCTCCATTTCATCATTATTCCGCTTGAATTCTAGATTTTCTTGAGGTAGAAAGGGAAATAGAAAATCCTGCGCAAAAGAAGCGATTAGAAGGTTGAGATGACATGCAGAGTACCGGCGCCAATATATTAGCCAGAACAGTTGAACACCGTGGCAATGAACGCCAAGGATGACCAAAAACGTTTCTGGTTTCAACACCTTGGCAAATACCATATACTGATCAGGGTATGTCTTAAATTAAACATGGATTTTTTTACGTACCCAAAATACAGTGGACCATGAAAATTGTGTGATATATATAAACTGACCCGCCGTTTGATGTTTTTTTTTTTTTATCCTGGAGTTAAAACTGGTGGGGAAATTGATTTCGCCAACAATCAACCAGATTAAACGTCGTCTCCACACGGGGCAGAATGTTCAGTTCACCCGACTGATAGTTTTCATTCACAGTGCAATTTCAGTGGTCAATTCATTCTAACGAGTGGCCCTGGCTTAATGGGAGGTGGTTGATTTTACCGAGTCACCATCTTTATGCCGATTAAAGCTATAACAGTGTGTCATTCTATTTAACCCATTGCTGAGGGAGAATAAAAGAATTCATATTTTACCAGGGGTATTTGCCCGTAAGTAAATGTAACGTACTTGGTTGAAATTCTCCGATGTCTTCTTCCGAGTCAAATTCATTTCTCCCCGCATATAGACGGTAGTAATTAGCATATATACGCGCATATCATTCGACTTTTGATTACCTCATTTTGAATTTAATTTTAAGGGGGGGTCACATCATACCCGAGACATAAAATTAGCGTAAGCACTTCTGCCCATTTGCTACACCGCTGATCAAACTATCTATTTATTGTCGTCAAAAAGTTTGTTTAAAACTTAACGACCCATCGATCAGCTAGAGATCATTTAAGGTCAAACAGTTGTTTTTTTTTTCTTTTTCTTTAAATA